CGTCATATTCTATTAAATTGGACCATGTAAAAGTGACTTCTGGTAGGTTAAGGACAAATGAACACTGGCCATTTCATTCGGTTCAACCTAAAATATATTTATTAATTATTTCTTATTTTTCTTCCTCTACAAAAGGTTTGAAACTCTGTGACTCCAGGGCTTTGTTTTGTTTTTAGCAATGCCCCCAATGTCTGGAGCATAGAAAGCATTTAGAAAAGTTGTAAATTAATGGAAAGGAAGAAGAAAAAGCAGTAAAATTTGTTGGTAGTAAGCAGAGGAAAACTATGCGGACAGTAATGTGTGTCTCTGTGTGTACGAGCTAGAAGAGATTTTAGTAAAAGGTGATTGGAAGGACTTCTGAGGGAGTTTAAAAAAACTGAAGGATTTATTTGTATCCATGTGAAGTTTTGTGTAAAGTTTGTAATTAGAGCTTTGGGCTAGGTACAGACCTTAATTATATATTTTTTCTGTGTTGTTTCCTGAAACTTGGACTAAGAAGGATAAAACATGCTTTGGATAATATAATTTTGAACTGAAAAATTTTCACAATTGGTAAATTACAAGACTCACCTCATCAATTGTGATATAAATTGATTATTTACCAGAGAAAAGAAGCTTCTTTGTACATAGCTAATAATGTGAACACATTTGGAAATAGTAGATAAGAAAAGCAACCTCTTCTATGTATATTTGATCTTGAAAGGAAATAGAGCCATCACCATGGGTCAGAAATAAAGATGGAATTGAAGTCCTCGAGGATAAATATTTGAATTGATACTGTGGCTGTCCTTGGGAGGGTGTTGTTAGTCTCACTATGCAAAGGTTTGAGTTTTAACAATCACGTGGAGATATGAAATGGAAAATTTAGACTTTGTGGGTCAGATCAGAGATATTCAGCACAGAGTTGCAACCATTGAGCAGAAGGGAGTGAAAAACCTTCCATCAGGATAGAAGGGACAAGGGAGCTATGTCTTAGAAAATGTCTCCCCCGAAGGCATATTGCTATGAATCTGTACCCTATTTGGAATTTGAATTTGTGCAGTATGGGAACGTCGCACCTTGAGACATTCATCCAACAGATTCCAGGTTACTGATGACCCTAAAGCACCTAGCAGAGTCAGTTGCAAACTTCTTAGAAGGGAGACACCATTAAACCAAGCTCCACAAGATTCGAGCATATAAACACCTTCTAAGGTAGATTAACTCCCAGCCTCAAATTACAAAACATAAGAAAACCCAAATGAATGATTTAGCAGACACAACAAATAGCAGGATTAGAATCTAAGACCTTCAGAGATAGAATTGTCCTATAGAGACTATAAAATAAAAATATTACAAATTATTGAGATATAAATTAATTATAAAGATAGGGAAAAAATAAGGTTTTCCAAAAAAGAACAGAAATTCTAAAAGTGAAAAATAAAGTAATAGCAATAAATAAATACACCAAGCTCAGAAACAGGCCCATATATGTTTAAGGATGTATTACGTATCAGTGTGGAAAGGATACAATAAATGGTATTAGGAGATGTAATTATTCACATGGAAGCATATACATAATAAGATCCCTTCCTCACAGCATACACAAATTAAATTTCAGGCAGAATGTAGGTGTAAAAGTGAAAAGAAAAATAAAGGATTTATATATTTAGAAGAAAATGGATGGACTGTCTTTATTACCACTGGATAAGGAAGGATTTCTTAAGACATTAAAACACAAATTGTAAAGAAAAATGGTAATACTAATCATGTTTAAACAAAAATTTATGTTTATCAAAAGACACTAAATATCTTAAAACAGGTAAGTTTCAGACTAGAAGACACTTAGGATGCATATACCAACAAAATTCAGAATCCGCTTTGTACGAAGGAGTCTTACCAATATTTTAAAAATCCAACTCAATAGAAAGATAGATGAACAATATGAACAAATAATTCACAAAAGAGGAAATATGGATGTGTGATAAATACATAAATACTTGCTCTATCTCACTAGTAATCAAGTACATAAAAATTAAAAAAGAAAATGTCATTCCATACCCATCATTTTGATAAAAATTGAAGTGAGCAAATACTGAACATTGGCAATGATACGCAGAGTCCACAACTTCATTTATATATTGTACCTGTTCTGATAGACAATCTGGTATCTGGTAGACAATTCTGATGGACAAATCTATAGGACATTGATAATTGGCTACAAAGCCCTGAGAGGTTTGAGATAAGTGGGGAGTGATTGCTAATGGATATGGTGTTGAAATGTTACAAAATTGATTGCGGTGGTAGTTGTACAACTTGGAGTATTCTAGAAACCATTGAATTTTACACTAAAACTGGTATGTGAATATCTCATGAATAATTTTTAACAAATAATGATACATACGGAGAAATAATGTGGTATATAAAATCTATGTAGGAAAGTGGTTAAGATCATCAATTGAGTCAGACTGCTTGAAGTCAACCTCACCCAAAACAGTTGCATGACTTTGCAACTTTCTTAATTTCTCTGTGTCTCAGTTTCCTCATCTATAAGTATAAAATGAGGTCTATATCATAATGTAGTTATGAATATTAAATGAGTTACTATTGAAAAAGCTTTTAAAGCAATATCTGGCACGACATAAATACTATATAAGTGTTTGATAAATAAATAAATGGGGTGTAGGGACTTCAACATTTGTTACTTGGGAGCATTTGACCTTTGTATTCTATGTTGCTAAAATTTCCCATTGTTGAAAAAAAGGAAATGTTAGTTATAGTATTGGCAGTTATTTTGTAATGCCTTTAATTTGCAGAAGAAACAGTTGGCTCTCCTAGATGGATCTCAAAGTATTTTTTAAAAATATATTCTGAAATTGTACTGTTTCATGAAATCCTAAACTGGGGAACCGGGGTGCAAAAACTTTATGTTGAGTGGTCCTTGGAAGCTGATGTTAAAATGTTAACATTAGAAAGGCGTTATAGATTCTCAACTACTTAGCAAAATGCTTATCGTGTAACAGATGTTAATGAAAGTGTATGGGAATGAATGACAAGAGCAGAGAGCAGCTCGTATGTGTATGATTCACTCTGAGAGAGGGAGGGAGAGAGAGAGAAGCTATGGTTTCTTTCTGCTGGTCTCCTTTGAGATTATGTAGTTATATTTGATATGTGTGAGTTTGCATGTTTCTGCTAACCTTATTCCTATGAGATTTTACTTGGAGGTATTTATACAGGCAGTGATCTTTCAGGGGAGTTTCCGAAATCTCCTCCAAGTATTGAAAAATAATTGGAGTAAGCTAACACCCCCAGCCCCAGTTCTCAGTGATGTCTTCTGTTAGCAGTATGGCTGCTGCTGCATTGCCATGTGTTCACTATTTTGATTTCCAGTTTTTCATTACATTTTCATGTTTCTTCTTCTTAGTCTCTGAACACCTTTTAAATAATTTCATTCAAAAAAAAAAAAAAAACCCGTAGAAATATGTTAGCTCCACAGAGCAGATTTCAACTAACCTTTTGTACTCAGTGGGCTGGAGGAGAGCCTTCTTTAGGTATTGTGAACAGTTAGTACCACGTGGACAGCTGTAAAAATACTTAGTCATAATTATGCTCCCTGGACCTTTGTGAAATAGCCTGCTTCATTCAATTTTGCACACAAGTGCTTGAGAAACATCCACAGCTTTTTTCATTGCCAGTGTAGGAGAGTGTTTCAAAACATGAGCTCTGAGGCACACCACATCTCTCTTGGTATCTGAAGATTTAGCTTCCCGAGTTTAGATTTACCAACATGTAAGACTCAAGAATAAAAGTACAGTATTTTCAGCCAAACATTAGTGCCAGGAAAATTATTGCTGATCCTCTCAGTAATCCAAGAAGAATTGACCGTGGGATTTAAGGCATTTAAAGTTGCAAGAGAGTAGGATTACTCTTTGGCTCAAGAGGCTTAGCATAACCTACTTGTACCCCTGTCAGCAACTAGATTAATGTCTTAAGAGAACAGAAACTTAATGGTAACCAGAGTATTGCTTAATATCTGCTGCTGTTTTAAAGCATTTCCCACAGTATTTCATTGCATCTTAATGTTACTAAACTCTACATTGCAATTGCTTAGAATGGCTTTAATTGAAGCAATTTAAATTTACATATCCTACTGAGGCACTCTGTGCGTGAAAGACTAATATGTAACAAGTGGTTCTTTTTTATAGATTACAAAGCTAGAGACAGTTGGTTATAGATCCTATTGATGAAAAACTAGCCTTCAACAGGGCTAATGAGAATGATTAGAGGGAATTTATTAAACAGTTGACTAAGGGAGTCCCCCTCCCTTCATACCGTGGAGGGGACACAGAGTAGAAAGTCTTTGAACTTGGCTGTCCAACTCATTTTTGGTATACAACCACTTAAAATATTAGGCAACTGTTTCAAATATTAATGACATCTCTACAGCTGAACTGTGCTCTTGATTTTACACTGGTTCTCATGTGTTGTAGAAACTCAAGGTGGAAGGATTGGGGGCCATTATCTGAGAGATTGTGGTTGGTAACATAACAGAGAATAGTTATATAGGATTATTATTGTCTCATCTGGGTACGGGGGCCCTTTGGGTGTGTATTTCTTAATATAATTTTGGTTACTCTGTCTCTTTGTTATAGCCCCATGTATTGTTCAAGGCATGGATTTTGGTGTACACACTGGTTGCAAGTGATGATAATTTAACTTAAATGAAATGGATCAGATCATTGAAATTCCAAGGAGTTAGATGTGAATCCAAGGATATCAAAGCTCCATTGCACAGATTAGTTTTTCTCTGTAATTAGCATTATTTAGACAGACTTTACTCATATAACCCTTTGACCAACTTATACACTCTGCAACAAAGTTTACATCTTATTGTTTCAGCAGTTTCAATAGAATTTCAGCTTCTCTGTTCTACTGGGTTTAGTTTTATTTATTTTTTATTTTTGGATTAATATAAGGGTATGTATGATTGAGTTACATTGTTCTGCCAGGTTTTTGGTTTTTTATATATGGAACACTTCATGTTTGGGTGTTATTCTTCTGCAGGGGCCATGCTAATCTTCTCTGTATCATTCCAATTTTAGTATATGCACTGCTGAAGTGAGCACTACTCTGCCAGTTTTAATAAATGTCTCAGGACCAAATCTCAGTGGACTGATGTAGGTCACATGACCACCATTGAACCAATCACTGTAGGCAGGAGAGGGCCCTGGACCACAACTGCCTGAAATGGGGAAGCATGGGTCCCCAAGGAAATTCATGGAATTTTTATCAGAAAACGGAGGAATGAATCTGTATTCAAAAAATACATAGTTGATTTTGATCCTACTTTAGGAACTATTTCTAATTATATGTACTTTCCTTTCCTGCATGAACATGCCCTTTATTTTCTCTGTAACAGACTTTTACCTTTAACATCACCAGGATATCAGTCCATGCTCCTTGTAAACAGGTGAGAGTAATGAGAAGCCAGTGAAAAGGGCAACACTTAACTCTGTTCCTGCCAAAACAAGGGTTTCAACCGACATCTTTGAGAGGCTATGCCAAAGTCCACCTACATCCATCCCATTGCTTTTTGAGCCCCTGTTCACTCTGAGCTGCCAAGTGATTTTAGAAAACTCTTTAGGGAAGATTTGGCAAACATAATAGAGGTTGGGACATTTACTTATGCCATCCTACTCATTTAGGTTAACATATTTTTTTCTCCATTGATCCAAAGTTCTCTTTAGCTAAATGTTTTTATTGTCAAAAATCAAAGAATACTTTTATAATAGTCAAAGAAGGCCCAACTAACTCCTTTTCTAAAAGTGTAGTATCAACCTAAATTAAAATCAATGCCGGGCAGTTGTTTCTTTCAAAATAAGAATGAATTACATTGGTGGTCAGAGTTCCTCATTCTAGAAAGATTCTAGAATGATTTGCTCACTTTGGATCTGGGTGGCTCCCAAGAAATGCAGAATGCAAACTAGAATACATTTTCTCATTGCAATGAGCATTCTATTCTCCCACTGGTACCCAGATTTCAGTATTTAGGAATAGGGACTTATTTTTCATTCAAAACCTATATCCTAATAATTTTATTGATTGATTTCTAGAAAAAGAAAAAAACAAAAACAAAATATAGAGTTTGAAATGTATGTATTTCCCTCCACTATTCCAAAATACTTAAGAGCTCATTTGGAAATCAGGAAAGCCCTCAAAAAGTTTTGAAGAGTTTTTAGAATCACCTTTTAGTTTTTTTACACTAAAATTATTGTTTTTTAGATCTTGGCCTTTCATAATTTACTGTTAATTAAAAACAAATTCAACAACAAGCATGACATCTACCAGGCGTCCTCAAACTATGGCCCATGGGCTACATGTGGCCCACCCAGGACATTTATCCCACCCACTGGGTGTTTTTGTAGCCATTGCCTGTCCTGCTTAGCAGCCAACTCGGCCCAGGGCCTGCAGTCTGGCCCTCCAATGGTCTGAGGAACAATAAACTGGCCCCCTGTTTAAAAAGTTTGAGGACCCCTAAGCTATAGTCTAGCACAGCTTGTTGTGCTGACTATTCTGGTGCATTCTTTTCTTTGAAGAGCTTGGGTGTTATGTCATCAGCATCGGCCAAACAATTAATGTAATTGAGTGCAAATGCCCCTTCAGCAGAAATCATTTCTTCTGGGAGGAGGCTAACCTGCCATTAAGATGAAGAAGAGTTAATGTAAGACTGTTTTTGTCCAAAATGATTGGGCTGAATTCCAGATTTCTGTAATGAAACCTTGCTGAATAACTGCTATGCTTGCAGCTATAAAAGTATTCAAAATCAAGTGTCGATTCTTCCCATTTCATCTCATACTTTAAAACTGGAGTTCTAAAAGCTAAGCCCAAGTGATTGTTCAAAGAAATTGATTGTACAGGAATTTACTTTTGATGATAGTAAGTGGGCATGGATTTTTTTTGATTGGCCTTTGGCAAATAATACCATTTTTCAGAACTCAGAAGATCACATATAAATTAAATATGATGATACTTGTATCTTCCTTGCTTTCTGAAATATTCTGAAAACTTCCATTTAAGATCTAAGTATTTTTCTTTTATACTTCAGCTATAAAATAACTTTATCATCTTTAAGAACATTGCAATCAAGAAACTTTAATGGCCTGTTCTTGGTAGAAAACACTGCAAATGACAAAAATAATACATGTCTTATGAAAAGTAGATATGTTAATCTTGTGAGAGGAATGATTTGATTTCATGCTTTTTATTTCTGAATGCAAATAATGTAAACTTTAAAAAACAATATTGTCTAAAGATAGCTATTAAAAGACTACAGAAGTTCTGAAGTGAGCATATCTGAGTGTCAGGATGTTTACTTTGTGTAAATAGAGAGCCACATATACTTCTACTATTGAATTATAACCTTAGGATGTCTCAAAATTCTCCATCTTCCATTTGTCTGGCTTCTTAGTCTATGCAAAAAAAGGGTAATATTGATATTTTAAAAGTCTTAGCTGTTGCATTATATATTTGCTGCCCAACAGACTATATTAAAATTTAATGGCTTAAAAGAATAACCACTTTTCCTATTTCTCATGATTCATCACCCTAGACTGGCCTGTGGTGGTCAGTTATTTGCCTGCTCTATCTGGCAGCCACTCACGTGCCTGTATTGACCTTGGCTAGGCTCAGTTGGGATGCTGGGATGACTGAGCTTCTCTTAGTCTCTGGAAAACTCATTTTTACATGGACTTTCTTTTCTTTTTTTTGAGACAGAGTCTCACTAAGTTGTCCTTGGTAGAGTGCCGTGGCATAACGACTCACAGACACCTCAAACTCTTGGGCTTAAATGATCCTCTTGCCTCAGTCTCCCAAGTAGCTTTGACTACAGGCACCCACCACAATGCCCCACTCTTATTTTGTTGTGGTTGTCGTCGTTGTTTAGCAGGCCCAGGCCAGGTTTGAACCTGCCATCCCTGGTGTATGTGGCCAGGGCCCTAACCACTGAGCTACGGGTGCTGAGCCTACATGGACTTTCCATGTGATCTTTCTAGTAGCTGAATTTCTTACATGGCAGTTTAGAGTACCCAAGAGGGAAAAAGTGAACATTTCTAGGCCTTCTTACAGCCAGACCCAGATGGGCATGGAGTTACTTTTGCAGCACTCTATTGGTTAAAAGCAAGTCATAGGCTAATCCAGATTTAAGGTGAGAGGAGAACACAGGGGCATGAATAGTGGGGAACATGGTTCATTGGGGATTACCAAAGTAATATCTTCATTAGTATCTGTTAGTACTTATTCATTCAAATGACATGCACTGCATTTTCTATGTTCACATACTAGTTATCCATACACCCTTTTGCATGCTAGGTGGATAGATTTAGCCCATTTCTTTTTACTAGGGTTTTGTATGACCTTTTTTATTCTCTGCAAAATATCTTACATACATCAATCACTGCAAGTGAGCTAGACATGGCCTTACTTTTGTGGAGGTGACAGTTTATGAAGAGAGTCAGAACATGGTCAAATAACTAAACAAATGTATGTGTACACATGTGTATGTGTTTATAATTATAAACTAGATTATAAATGGTAAAGTACAGGGTGCCCTGAGGGTACATGAATACTAAGAAAGGGAAGTGAGAATAATATTTCCCGAGGAAGAGATGTGGTATTTAAATTAAGATTTTAAAGATGAAGAGAGCAGAATAGTGAAGGGATAGGGAAGAAGAGAGATGCATTCTACGAGGTGACCTTGAGGTGGGAGAAAGCATGGCATTGAGGGGGATGGGGTGTTTGAGGAAATGAAAGCTGACAATGCGCCTGTAGTGCAGAAAGCTCAGGGAAAAGCAGTGTGACACAGGGCTGCAGTGGAAAGCGGTAGCCAGAGCACATAGGGCCTTCTGGGCCATGATAAGAATTTACAAGAGCAATAGAACACCACTGATGTATTTAAAAGATAAGATAGTGATGATGACAAATACAGGCAGTCCCTGGATCATGAATGAGGTAGTTCTGTAGGTTTGTTCTTAAGTTGAATTTGTATGTAAGCCAGAACAGGTACATTCATCTATTACTATCCTAGCCCCTGTTCGTAAGTGCAAGTTGTATGTAAATCAGATGTTTGTAACTTGGGGACAGCCTGTAATCATCTTGACAGTCTATACAAATAAATCTAATCTCCAATTTAAGGGGCTGGGAGTAAATGGGGAAAGACTGATTCAGTTATTACGAAAGCCTAAGTGCAATATGATGGTGGTGGGATGGATATGGAGAAAAATATGCAGATGGAGCAGATGTTTAGGAAGAAAAATAGGACATGATTTGGAAGGTAAAGGAGAGGAGGATGAGTGAAAGATGTCTCCTGGGTTTCTTATTTGTAAAAATTATTAATGATATGCATGTATGTGTATGTATATGTTTGTCTGACAGTCTATCTGGTCATGAAAAGCAGGTGTTCCTGCAGGGGTGGGGATAAATAATCAAGAACTTGAATTTATATGTATTTAATTTGAGATACTTTTAAGAAATTTAAAAAGGGGTGTTAAATTAGATCTAGAAGTTTGAGTCAGAAGAGAGGTCTGCTTTAGAGATTAAATTTGTGATTTGTTGATAATGAGTGAAACTGGGAGCACAAAGGAGATCATTTAGGGAGAGCCAATAGATGAAGAGGAGATGAAGACTTAGGACCAAGCTTTGAGGAAATGAACCTTTGAAAGTCTAAGTTGAGGAGTTTCAACAGGAAATTGAGAAGAATATGATGTTACAGACATTAGAGAGGTGTGGTAGGGGGAGAGAGAGCTTAAAGAAGAAGGGATTGATTAGCAACATTAAATACTATAGAATGGTAAATAAGAGAAGGAATAACAAATAACGCCTTGCACTTACTGATACTACACAATGAGAAGGTAGTGGTAATAATCCCACAACTGTTTCAGTGGAAGTAGTAAGGCAAGCCATATCGAGGTGGCTTGAAGAGAGAGGAAGCAGTGAGGGAAGGAAGATAATAAACAGAACAAGTAGATGTCTTCAGAGTTATAGGGTAAAGCAGAATTTTGGAGGTGGAATAGGTAAGAGTAATGGATAGAATAGAAAGTAGGGAGTGCAGCTGAAAGGATTCATTTGAGGA